CACCTTCCTCAGCTCCGGCTACCTGCTGGGCCCAAGCCAGACCCTGACTTCACCAAGGATTCCAGATACATCCAGCTGGGAGGTCAGAATCCCTTGTTCTGAAGTGCTGGATGGAGCCCCGTGGTGGGCCAGCAGCTCTATGGGGGCCATGGGGCAAAGGGATTTCTTGGGGCCACACAGATGTCTCCTGGGACCAGCACTGGGGGTTGAAGATGCCCCCTTTAATCAGCTGTGGGCCCCAGACATTCCTTGCTGGTCCCTGGGAGCCCCTTCAGTCACGGGAAGGTGGACATGTGGACAGGCGTCCACCATCCCAGGGTGAGGGCAGCTGCTGCTGGGGCCACCCCAGGAACTCCAGGGGACAGCTGGCTGGAAGTGACCAGCTGGGACTGCCCTGGGCCGTCCTGGTGCAGGCTGGCGAGGCGAGCCTCTGACCCCGCTGGCTCCCCTCCAGGGACTGGAAGAAGGCACGACTCCTTGTGACTGACACGCCTTGTAGGGGTACAGCCTCCCCTGCGCCCGCGTTGGCCCTGCACCCACCTCCAGGCCAGGCATCCGTGAGGATGATCAAGGGCTGTGTTTCCACAGCACCCCCCAACCCCGCTTTACCCCGCCACCTGCTGTCAGATGCCGTACGGAGCTCAGGGCCACCAGGGTCTGTCACAACAAATAACATTCCGGGTAAGTAGGCCCCGCACTACATTCTTTGCTGCGAATCTGAGATAGAAGTCTAGCAGACACTGCGACCCTCTCTGTCCTCAGGGACAGGGACACTTTGGGGGACAGAACTGGGCACTAGGGATCCACCCAGCTCCTTGGAAGGGAAGGGAAGGGACCAGGGCTGGCGGTGGGGGGACGGTGGCTGCTGTGGCCTGGACCCAGCCAGGAGGCATGATGCTGCCTAGGGGAATGGCTCTCTCGACCCTGGGCGGGGCTGAAGTGAGCACGTTTAAGGCCCCCAGGCCAGGCCATCGGCGGCCCTACTCTGCTGCGCTTTACTGTCCCCACTGTGCAAAGGAGGGAAGTCTGGCAGTGGGGGTGGGGTGACAGACCACCCCCCCTCCCAGTGGGCGTCGCTGCCCCCAGTGCCACGTGTGGCAGGTACAGTGGCTGGGCTGGGTGACCTGCCCTGACCAAAGCCACAGCAGAAACCCTGCCTCTCCCACCCCAGGGGCCACAGCAGAGATTATAGAGTGATTTCCTGGCTCTGGGGAAATAACAACCCACTGGTGTCCATTGATTTTTCTGCAAGGAAAGAATGTTTTCTATAAGAAATCTAAGGACTGCGAGATAGGAGACTAGCCATGTGCCCCTCTGCCACCACAGCCCCTCAGGCAGCCCTGGCTCCGCCCCACGAATCTGGGGGCCTGTAGACCATGGGGTCAGGGTTGTCCCAAGGGCCCCCTCTATCCTTCTCAGCCTTTTGCCCTTTCAGAAGAGGTGACACTCTGGCCTTGGGTGGGGCTGACCATTACATCCAGTCCTGGCCATGAGACTACAAGTAACAGCAACAGTGGACAGTGCCCGGTGCACGCTCGCCTGCACGTGTGTAACCATGTGCATGTACATGTGTGCGTGCCCGGTTCCGTGCACTGGTTTCACTGTGGCCAAATAGACATAAAGTTTACCCTTTTAGCCATTTTTAAGTGCACAATTCAGTGGCCTTAGGCATGCTCCCTTTCTGGTGCAACCATCTCCCCATCTCCAGAACTTCCTCATCTTCCCAGACAGTCTACCTGTTAAACACTCAGTCCCGTGCGACTGACTTCATCACATGTGCAGACCTGTGGGACCTTCGTGCTCACGACACTAACAGGCCCTCCTGCTGCCCTTTCAGAGCCACGGCCCCTCCCCATCCGCAAGCCTGAGCACCCTTGACGCTGTCTGAACCGACCCCTGCCTGTGGGCAGCTGTCCACTCCGCGATCTTTGTGTGCCCCGTCTGTAAACACTGGCATGTGCCCGACAGACATGTGTGATTACCTGAACCACTTTCCGCCCAGCAGGTATGTCCTCAGGCCTCTGGGTACCAGATCCGCCCCTTCCAGCCCTGGGACACAGCCCAGACCAGCGAGCCATCCGCGCTGGAAGAGCCACATGCACCGAGAGGGGCTGGCATGGCCGTCCTTGATCAGGTGGTCAGGGAGGCCCCCCAGCTGGGAGGCATTTGATGCGGCGTCTGAGGAAGGGCATCTGCATCACAGGGGTCGGCAGCACAGAAGGCTGGTGTCCTGCAGTGTCCTCAGTGTGGCCAGGAAACAGCTGGAGCAGAGAGGGGGCCGATGGGGGGCGGGCAGCAGGAGCGAGGGCAGGCTGGGCGAGGGCTGGCGCTTAGCCCGGAAGGAGAGGGTGCCCGGACGGGCTGCAGGAGGCATCTGTGACATACAGGGGTTGTGCACGCAGGCCGACGTGCAGGGAGTCGAAGGGGCCCGGGCATGTTATAGAGCTTACGCAAAGCCAGCGTTGCATAGGGTACAGACGGGGTCAAGGAGCACCCCCCAAACTCACATCTACTGGAACTTGGCAGGTGAACTTACTAGGAAACAGGGTCTTTATAGACGGAATCCGTTAAGAATCTCAAAGGGAGGCCCCCGGGCCCCAAACCCAATGACTGGTGTCCTTACAAGAAGCAAGGACAGAGACACAGGGAGAAGCCACGTGAAGACAGAGGCAGACACGGGAGTGATGCAGCCACAAGCCCAGGGCCCCCCAGGCCACCAGGAGCCGCAGAGGCAGGAAGGACCCTCCTCTGACCCCCCACCCCAGAGGAAGCAGAGTCCTGGGACACCTGGATTTTTTTCCCCTTAACGGAGGTGCTGGGGATTGAGCTCAGAACCTTGTCTATGCTAAGCATGCGCTCTACCACAGAGCTACACCCTCCCCACCCCAACAACTTGACTTTGGACTTCTGGCCCCCAGCGCTGGGACACAACAAAATTCTGCTGTTTTAAGCCCCCCAGTTTGTGGGACTTTGTTACAGCAACTGGAGCAGATGGACAGGTTTGATTAAACTTAATTCAGAGCAGATGCACTACCGCATCCCGCCCCCAGCACCATGGCCCCATCCTAGGAAGGGGCCAGGCCTGGGATGACGACATGTGTCCCGGGGAGCAGCAGCTCCGTGCCAGGGCTGCAGGGCCTCGGGGTGGCTCCTGGGCCCAACTCTGCAGGAGCTGCTCGCCCAGGAGTGAGGCCATCAATCCCAGATGTGCTGAGCTGGAGGCCCTGGGGGGTCCTGACCAGGCCACCCTGAGAGGGATGAAGCAGCCCCACCCTAGGGCTCATTTTGCACCTAAGCTATGTAACCATGCGAATCAGCCCAAGATGCCCCACACCACTGCGCGGCTCAGATCCTGTGGTGGGCAGTATAGACGTTTGTCTTCCCTTCATGGGGCCTGTCACCCACCAGCGGGCCAGCCCAGGCTTGGACACAGGCTGCAGGCCAGTAGGGATCAAGAGGGCAGAGGAAAGCTGCGAGGCTGGGGGCTTCTGCGGGCCGCGCAGCCCCTTCCCTGCATCCTACTGGCCAGGACCACGATGAGGAAGGGGTGCCCCTCTGCAGAGGCAGAGGGCGGGAAGAGAGCTTTCCAGAGCGGGGTAGGGGTAGGGCAGGGGCAGCACCCGAAGGCCCCTCAGAAGCCTGGAGGTTGGTACCTGGAGCAAGTGGACACAGGAGCCCTGGAACTGGGGATCCAGGCCTCAGGGGAGCCAAAAACTGGGGAATTTAGGAAATTCTGCACTTAGGACCCCGACTCTCAGAACTGCTTCCAGAGAGGCCGCAAGTAGCCAAGGATGGCCTAAGGCAGACGCCGAGAGGACGGCGACTCCATCAACAGGAGAAAAGCGAGAGGGTGAGGAAATGAAGGAAGCGGGGCAGCCCGTGCCCGCCGCGGGAGGCCGGAGGACACCGGAGAGGAATCCAGGGGACAGCTGGCGCTGGCGCAGCAGGGACGTGGGACCACAGTGGGGAGTGCAGCTGGGACAGAAGCACTGCTGGGTGAGAGGAAGTGAGCCACGGAGGCCTGGGGCCACGCTGGCTCCAGGAGAACGAGGCCGGACAAGGCGGCCCAGCCCCAGCCCACAGCCCACGCCGCGCCGTCCAGTGCGCACCCAGGGAGAACACAGGGAGGGTGACGTGGCAAAGTCCCTGTCCCGGGGCGGGGGTCGACAGGCGGTGCCCCAGGCGGGTCCACGTCCACGAAGCCAGAGCTGATCAGACTTCAGAGCAGCCCGCCTCTCGCATAAATGGCTGTTAGAGGCGGGCCCGGTGTGCGGGGGCCCAAGGGAGGCAGGACAGGGCTTCCCTCGGTCTGCGTTCCAGCTCCCACCCCGTCTTTCAGACATGGCTCCAAACTGAAAGGCACCTAAACGCACCTGAAGTCAGCCACCACTCACCATTCATCCCACAAGGGTTTATCAGCACCTTCTCTGCATGAGGTCCTGAGGCTGCTGCGGGCACAGCCAAGAATAGGACAGAGACCCTGCCCTCTGGGACTCTCCTGCCGTCCCACGAGTGCCCCGTGACGGGTCAGCCACAGGGAGGCATCCTGAGTGCCTCCCCCCCTGAAGATGAGTGTGGTGGGGGCCCAGCAACCAAGATGAAAGGCCATGGATAATTAATGCTACTCAGACCTGGCTTTACTCCATGAAATCCTTTGTGATGGCCTGAGACAGAGAGCAAACAGATGCAAAGCCCGTCTCTGGTTTCCAGAACACAAGGGCTTCTGGCACTACAAGACATGAAAACAAGGCTCTGGGTGAAGAACTCCTGTTCTGGCTGCAGATTTGATGTCAGATCAAAACTGAATTGTTCCTGAAAGCTCGGGCACTGGGGTGTTACTGGAGGCATGCCCAGCCCCTACGTGCAGAAAAGACGTGGCCTGAGCATGCCCAGCAGCCCTGCTGCCGCGGGGCCCTGAGGCTAATCCCCAGAGGCCCGGGGCCCCTTGTGCTGACAGCCCTCTGTCCCCTCCACCTCTCCCTCAGGCCCTCAAGGACACATCAGAGGCAGCAGACTTTATTTGGGGGAAACAGAAGTCCTGGACTATTTTACTGGACCTGCAGGCCGGCAGCTGCTGTGCAGGCAGGGGACACGGGGACACGAGGACACAGCTGCGGCCCCGTCAAGGCCTGGAGCCACGCGGCAGCCTCGCAGTTGCCGTCACTCTGGCCATGAGGGTTAACTCTGACCTGGACGACCCAGGGGTTCTCTGAACCACCGCAGCGGTCAGTGGGGCCAGGGCCAGCATTCTCTTCAGGTCACAAGGACAGTGGAGCACAAATCCAGCCCCACAGCATCTCTGGGAGACGGCACCTGTGCTTTCTCTCCACTCCAGCCACCACGGGAGACAGGGCTCCGATTCCCTGCCCGCAGCTAATAACCCGCTCGCTCCTACTGAGCAGGTCAGTGTCCCTGGGTCGGATATTGGGAGCATTCAGTTGTGAAGCCCGGCTTGCGCGGAGCGCAGTGCCATGGGGACAACGTGGGGGTGGGGGTGGCCCTGTCGCTGCCTTCAGACGGCGCTCCTGCACCTGCAGTGCTCAGCACCGGTAAACACTCCCTGTCCTCCAGCCTCATGCAGCAGACAAGCATCAGGGCAAAATGAGCTCCACGGGGTGTGTCAACCTCTGTGATAGCTGCCACCACCCGGGCCAACGTTGGGAACGTGGCTCTGTCCGCTGGGCTGTCTTCTGTGCACTCGGCAGCTTCGGCAACACCAGCCAGCTGTGTGGTCCCTGCCAATTAGCGGGGGCCCAGGGCAGGGGCGCGGTGGTGGGGGGAGCCCCAGGCTGGCGGGAAGGCAGATGCACCAACACCTCCGAGTCTTTGAAGCACCTTCTCATCTCCACCCAGTGCTGTGCATTCCCAGTCAGTGGCCTTTGTGGGCAGAGGCCCCAGCAACCCCCTAGCGCTACGAGCGGAGCGGCTGGTGGCCAAGCTCCAGCCCCTTGGCCACATGGCCGTTGTGCAGCTCCTTCAGACGCAGCAGCAGCTCCTCCAGGTTCTCGCCAGTGGCTGCTGACAGAGCGATGGCCCCCTGGCCCAGGCGGGCCCGCAGCTGGGGCAGCCTGGCCCTGGCCTGAGGGAGGTCGATCTTATTTGCCACAATGGCGTGAGGCCTGCGGGACAGGCCTTCTGCGTACTTCTCCAACTCCTGCTTGAGGTCGTCCACCTGCGTCCAGGGCTCCAGGACCGAGAGATCCACCACGAACAGGAGGAAGGGGCAGCGCTCGATATGCCGGAGGAAGGCGAAGCCCAGGCCCCTGTTCTGGTGTGCACCGCGGATGAGGCCGGGGATGTCGGCCACTGCAAGGAGACAGAGGGAGGGCTCAGGAGGGACACCCGGGGCCTCGGGGGTCTAGGACTGCCCCCCAAGGAACGCCTTGCGGCTGGTCTTCCAACTCACCGCCTCGTTGGCTCATCTGGCCAACTGCCATCCGAGGCGGTTTGGCTTCCCGTCTTGCTTTGAAATATTTGGGTGGCAGGCCTGATGACAGATCAATCTAATAAGAACTATTTAACACATTCCAGTCTTTCTGGCTTCAAAATGACTCAAAAATGGGAGAAAACAGCTTCCTGCAACCTATTAATAATCTGATTACTGATAGAAATTATCACAGAGTCCTTTGCAAATATAAAGTGCTACACAAAGCACACTGCCAGCAGGGCTGCTATTTTTAATGGGTACATTGTCTTCTGGAAAAAGCTTTCTTCTCTCCGAATGGCACGGGGAGAGCTTTTTCCATCACACGTTGTCCACCTGACTGACGCTGCTGAGCTCCTCGCAGATGAGAGAGGGTAACAGAGGCGGTGGAAAGGGATGATTCCTCAGGTTTGAAATTTAAACTCAAATTCCTGAACTAACAGATGCCTGGGGGAGGGGTGGGAAGCAAACCTGAAACCTGATTTTGATGGAGAACCACAAGTTTCAAATGAAGAAAACGCTACGCGCAGTTACACAAGCATCGCTCTGAATGGCGCCCCAGCCCCGCCTCCGAGAGAGCCCGGTGGCCCTACCTGTGATCTGCTGGTGGTCCTCGTAGTGAACGACCCCGACGTGGGGGTTTAGGGTCGTGAACGGGTAGGAAGCCACTGCGGGCTTCGCATTGGAAATGGCCCGGAGAAGCGAGGACTTCCCTGCGTTGGGGAACCCAACCTGGGAGAGAGTTAGGACGCTCTGTCACTGCAGAGTCTGCGACTGACCAAGGCCGGGACCTCAGGACAGAGGACGATGGGAGGAGGCTCCTGACAAAGCCAACAGGGTGCTGGCGGAGGAAGTCTGCTAACCAGCCCTCGCCCTCTTCCAGGTGGCGTGACCCGCACTGGGACAGCAGGCGTCCTCCCGCTCAGCATGTGGAAGGTGCCACCGCCTCCCGCCCGGGGCTTCAGGTGACACCCACCATCCCAGCATGGGCCACTGTCTTGAGCTCCAGGAAGAGGACGCGCTCCTGGCCGGGCTGCCCGGGGGTACAAGTCGTGGGTGCACGGTTGTCGTTGGCCAGGAAGAAGCGGTTGCCCTTCCCTCCTGCCCCGCCCAGAGCCGCGATGTATTCGTCGCCCGGGTGCGAGAGGTCAGCCAGGACTTCACTCCCCTCCTTCACCAGTGTGCCCACGGGGACCTAAAAAATAACAAAGTGCTTATC